TTTCATTACCTCTCTGAGGCCCACTATAGTTTTATTGAAATTATCATTAATTAATACTTGTTGATTTTCAGCCGATATTAAATCATGATTATTTTGTTCTAATATTTTAATGTGTCCCTCTATCGCAGTTTTATCTTCGTCGTCTAAGGTACCAAATGCCTAATTAAACAAACGTCCTCCTGCATTTACTAAGCCTCTTTTCATTCTATGGGGTAGTAAGGTATGTAACATATTTTCCGTTAAAGTAATCTCTGAATCTATTAATGTTCTGTAACCTGTATGTTTATTTGTTCTATTCACTGTATATTTAAAACTTTCTAATAACTGTCCAATTTCATATGGGTCTATTGTGTGTAAAATGTAATTGTATTTACTGACGATTTCAGTTTTTCCAACGTTGATTTCTGTATATCCCAGATTTGTTTCTATCTTCTCCACATACAATTCGGAATTTATCAATACTATTCCAGTGAAAAATAACTGCAGAAAAAATAAAATAGCTTTAAAAATTGTTGAGTACTATAATTCTTAGGGCTAGTTCAAACTATGTCTTATGTAGTTTTAAAAGATTATTGTGAAAAATCTTTTCTCTACCCTTTATGATTATTTTCGTGTTTACGGGAGTAGGTATTTCTGTAACTTGAAAAGGACCTTCCCATATAGGTGAAAATTTATTTTTTCTATTTGGGTTTTTCAACCACACTTTTTCCCCTATTTTGAACATTCTATTTTTAGTTCCCTTATCATAGTACTCTTTTGCTTTTTCTTTAGCTATTTTATGGTTCTTTCTTACTAATTCATATGACCGTTGTATTTGATATTTTAACAATTTGGAATAATCGTCATAGTTATAAACTGGAATTGGTTTTCGCTTTAAACTTATCGGTATCTCGAATTCAAAACCAAATAGCGTTTTAGTAGGTGTTTGTTTAGTGGTTGTATGCATTGTATTATTATGTACATGCATTGCATGATGTAACCACTTATCCCAATTTGACCCATCTTCTTTCACAAAATTCCTCAGGAACTCTGCTAAAGGTCTATGACTACGTTCAAGAGCTCCGTTTGCCTGTGGATGGTAGGGTGTAGTTTGAAGATTTTTAATACCCTGAATTTTATATGTTTCTTTGAAAAGCTTTGATGTAAAATTCGTTCCATTATCCGTAATTAAAACTTTAGGAATATTAAACTTTGCGATAATTTCATTAAAAAACTTTCTCGCCACTGTTGAGGCTTCTGCATCTGGTAACGCAGTACATATTAGATATTTTGAGAAATCATCTTGAAAAGTCAAGATGAGTTTATTCCCACTTTCCGTAGTCGGTAATGGACCTACTATATCCATGAATACTTTATCAAACGGTCTTTGGGGCGTGTCAGTTAGAATCAGTGGTAATCTCTCCACTTTTGAGCTTTTGTTCTTTTGGCATTTATGACAAGCTGTTATGTATTCTTTTATTTGTTTTTGCATGCCTGCCCATTTGAACTGTTTTCTTATTCGGAAATAAGTTTTAGTTACCCCTTTATGACCTCCTATTGGTGAATCATGAAATGTTTTCAAAACTTCCTGAATGTCTTTTTTACTTGTTAAGTATACTGCAAAATCTTCGTGTGTATGTGCTATCGAATCCTCTATCTCCTCTTGGTTTTTATTTGAAATTGTATTTGAATTTTTTGCAAGTTCCGCCTCTTTTGCTTTACCCCTTGTTATAACCGCTATTGGAAGTCTACTCAAAGCATCCGCATTTTTGTTAGTCTTTCCTGGTTTATAAAAAATCTCGAAATCATATTCTAGTAGCTTCAAACGAAATCTGCCCAGTCGCGTGTCTTGATCTTTTAGATTAGCAATTCCACGTAATGGCTTATGGTCCGTATATATTTTAAGTTGTCTTCCCAGCAAATATGATCTAAAATTTCTTGTTGCCCATACTATCGCAAGTAATTCCTTCTCTATAGTTGAGTATCTTTTTTCAGTACTGCTGAGAGCACGGCTTGCGAAGTAAATGGGTAAGTCTGATCCAACTTCTCCTTGGGATAGTACTGCCCCTAATGCTTCGTTACTAGCATCCGTTGTTAATAAAAATTCTTTTGAAAAATCCGGATACTGTAAAACTGGTGGACTAGTTACTGCTACTTTCAACTGGTCCATTGCCTTTTGACATTTCTCATTCCATTCGAACTTTTCTCCTTTCCTCAGTAATTTGTTCAATGGTAATGACACTTGAGCAGCTTGTGGAATAAATTTTCTATAGTAGTTTATTAGACCTAAAAATGATTGCAGGTCTTTTACATTTCTAGGTACTGGGATGGCTGTAACACATTTTGTTTTCTCCGGGTCTGGTATCACTCCTTTGTCTGAACATTTATGTCCTAAATATACGACTTCTCTCCTTAATAGTTGACATTTCTCAGTTTGTAGCTTTAAATTGTTTTCCCGAAGAGCTTGTAATACATTCCTAAATCGTTTGTCATGTTCTTCTAAATAACTGCCGTATATTACAATATCGTCAAGATATACAAAGCAATCAATTGCCTGGAGTCCTGTGAGAATGCTATTCATTATGCGCTAGAATGTTGCGGGTGCTCCCGTCAATCCAAACGGCATACGTCGAAATTCAAAATGTCCAAGTCCCGTACTAAATGCTGTTTTTTCTCTGTCTTTGTCTTCAACTATCACTTGGTGATAGCCACTAGCCAAATCCAAAGTCGTAAAATATCTACTGCAACCTAACTGATCTAAAATTTCATCTATTCTCGGAATTGGAAAAACTTGTTTGATGGTTTTTTCATTTATTTTTCTGAAATCTACCACTAGACGCCATTTCTTTTCCCCATCCGTACCTGGTATTTTAGGTACTAAAATTATTGGTGAATTCCATGGTGACTTGCTTTTAGTTATAATACCTTCCTCCAGCATTTTATTTACTTGTTTGTTTATCTCTTCTTTATGTGTTTCTGGTAATCTATATTGGCGTTGATTTATTGGTATCTGCCCTAATTCTGTTGGAATCTCATGTTTTAACACAGAAGTGTATGTAAGTCTATCTCCTGGTAAATGAAACACATCATTATATTCTTTAATAGTTTTTGTTATCAGGCTTCTTTCTTCTGCATTTAAATTCTTGTCCAAATTTACTGTTTCTAATAGCAACTCATAACGTTCATCCATATCAATTTCCTTATTTAAATTGACATTTGGTAGCCTGTATTCATCATAATTAGACATATCACTACCCTCTAACTTAATTTCTGTATCAATTTTAACAGAATAATTATTTGCATTTAAAATTTTTACGTAGCCTATACCATTTATTACTTTAGTAAGGCATTCTCCTGAGTAAACCTTTGGCAAAATTTCTTTATTATGAACAATTACTCTTCCTTCTTTAGGTGTTGTTTTTATTGGCACTACCATTGTAGATCTAGGTGGGATCGTAATACATTCAGTTATACAAATCCGACCGTGATCTGCAATGTCTATCAGAGGTAAAACTGCCACTTCTTTCTTATTATCATGAAATTTTAAAACTTTTCCAATTGTATCCATTGTTGAACGATTCCATAGTTCATCTCTTCCCAGTAATCCATCTGCTGGTATCTTGCTTCCCAATGGAACTACATCTTCTTTCACAAAATTCCTCAGGAACTCTGCTAAAGGTCTATGACTACGTTCAAGAGCTCCGTTTGCCTGTGGATGGTAGGGTGTAGTTTGAAGATTTTTAATACCCTGAATTTTTTATGTTTCTTTGAAAAGCTTTGATGTAAAATTCGTTCCATTATCCGTAATTAAAACTTTAGGAATATTAAACTTTGCGATAATTTCATTAAAAAACTTTCTCGCCACTGTTGAGGCTTCTGCATCTGGTAACGCAGTACATATTAGATATTTTGAGAAATCATCTTGAAAAGTCAAGATGAGTTTATTCCCACTTTCCGTAGTCGGTAATGGACCTACTATATCCATGAATACTTTATCAAACGGTCTTTGGGGCGTGTCAGTTAGAATCAGTGGTAATCTCTCCACTTTTGAGCTTTTGTTCTTTTGGCATTTATGACAAGCTGTTATGTATTCTTTTATTTGTTTTTGCATGCCTGCCCATTTGAACTGTTTTCTTATTCGGAAATAAGTTTTAGTTACCCCTTTATGACCTCCTATTGGTGAATCATGAAATGTTTTCAAAACTTCCTGAATGTCTTTTTTACTTGTTAAGTATACTGCAAAATCTTCGTGTGTATGTGCTATCGAATCCTCTATCTCCTCTTGGTTTTTATTTGAAATTGTATTTGAATTTTTTGCAAGTTCCGCCTCTTTTGCTTTACCCCTTGTTATAACCGCTATTGGAAGTCTACTCAAAGCATCCGCATTTTTGTTAGTCTTTCCTGGTTTATAAAAAATCTCGAAATCATATTCTAGTAGCTTCAAACGAAATCTGCCCAGT